CCCCCCCCAGGTTGCAGATAACTACTACAGGCCAGATCTGAAGAAGGCTGCCCTAGCAAGATTGAGCGCTGTGAACAGGAGCCTAAAGGTTGCCAAGTCCGGGGTCAAGAAGAGGAACAGACAAGCGTTGAAATCAGGTGGAAGGAAGTAGGAAGTGAGAATTAAGAGAATGAAAAATGAGATGTTGCGTTTGCCATTGTGTTTTTTGTTGGAATGCCAACTTAGTGCACAGTTTTGAATCTGAAGAGTAGTCTGGAGACAGATGTTTTGCTATGTTTTGCATTATTATTATATGCTTATTTTCATGCTGTGGTGAACTTGTCAGGTAACCTTGTGACTTTGTTTTGGTTATATGTTATTTTAATTGCAGTTGAAATTTTCTAGGATATTTCATGGTCCGGTAGGGATAACAAAGCACTTGGAAAAACCCTAAATCTTGTGTTGGTGTTATGTTTTGTTTTTTTTTTTTTTTTAATTAGTTGATTTCAATTAGTAAATATATGAGATTTATGTCTATGATTTAGATTTATATGATAATTAATGGATGCATTTAGACATGGCAGGATAATTAATAAATACAAACCATTCATATAGAATATTAAAATAGTACTAATAGTTATTTAATAATTTTAATATAATGTGTAATACAATTTTTGTTAATTAAAATTTTAGTTAAATAATTTTGTTGTAATCACAAGTTAAATTTAGTATTATTTAATATATAGTTAAATTAACAAATTAGTCAATTCAAATAAAAATAAATAAATACTTTTACATTAAACATTAATTAAAAGTAATATTGAGAATTGAAAAATAAAATAAAAGTTCATATTAAATTGAAGATAATATAAAATATAAATATATTAGTTAAAATTTAAGTCTACATAATATTTACATTCCTTTAATTGAAAATAATTAGTAATTAATTTTTTAATTCGTTTAAGTTATAGCCATAATCCTCTCTAATGTTCAAGACCATTATATCCAAACCCAAACATTAGCATATTCACAGCTATTGGGACATTTTTACACATTCAAAATTCGTACAACCTACAAAATACATTATATCCAAACCCAAAAGAAGCCTCGCAAGACTAACAGGAAGAGGCCAAGCTATACTAAAAACAAAAGTCCAACCTCTCTACTAGCTAAACAAAATAAAATGCATTTCAGGAGAGAGGAGAGCAAAAAAATTTACATGTTCCTATATTGGGGGTGGGGAGTAGGTAGCAAGTAACAAATTTACTGATTTTTTTATACACAGGATTCATTGATACAGTTCTTGTGTTCACCTCGACCATTTAATGACGTACCCTGAGTTGACGTTCGATTGCTCGAATAGAGGCACGTCCAGTCTTAATCTTTTGCGTAAGTTTGTGCAAAATCTGTAAGCCGTTCCTTCAGATGCTGCAACAATATAATGCATATTAAGAAACTAACGAACTAGAGATTAAAATTAGAACTACAAAAAGTAAGATGGTAATGTGGATTAGTAAGTTGATGTTAATCACCTTCAGCTCTTCATGGAGAACAATGAATATCTTTTTCAACCTCTTGTGCCTCTGCAAATTACCTCTTAATTTGAGTCAACTTTATTATATAAGAAAGAATATAAATAACGAGGAAAAAAAAAAATTGATGTGCTTTCAGATGAAGGCAAACAAAAATATTCATGCCTACATGAAGTACAACCCACGTGAGCCTTGAGATTTTGTGCAAGAATAATTACTAATGTTGATTTAAGCTGCAAAGCCCCAGAGATGGAGAAATATATATGTGAACGTGAAAAACTTCTAATCCTATCAACTTAAAAACTTACAGAAAAGATACTAGGATTGGCAGCCATACCGTTGAACACAGCCGATAGGTTTCTTTCAGCTGTCCTAAGACGTTAAAGTATTTCTCCGAATCTTGTCCTCTAGCAGAATCGAGCTCCTTTCCGAGTTTGCAGAACTCAGCCCTACATATGTCCACCGATGTTTAGAAACATAATGATTTTTTATTTATAGTAACAGCATACCAGAACACTTTTTAAACATAATAACCAGACATTAAGTGTGAGATCCCACATTGGTCGGAGAAGATAACGAAGCATTCTTTATAAAGGTGTGGAAACTTTTCCCTAGTAGACGCGTTTTAAAAACCTTGAGGGGAAA